AAAAAAGTGAAACACAAGTGAATGAATAGCAACATCAATGATTGGTTTTCATACTAAAGAGAATCTGAATGTTTTGTTTTGCTATTTCATTATCAGTGAACCTCTCCCTCTTCCTGTATTGTCTCTTATCATGGAATGACGGCTGATTGTACAGACATGGTGGTCTCTGGGGTCCCCCAAGAAAATGGCATCAATCATGCTGGGGAGATAGCCAGCATGGCTCTGGATCTGGTCAGCGTCTGCCACAACTTCAAGATCCCACACAAGCCCAACACGCAGCTAAAGATCCGTGCTGGCATCCACTCAGGTACTGTGACCATCTCATTGTATCCAGCCTCACTGAAACTTCCATAAAAAAAAAAAAATGTAACTAATTTGCGATATCAGAAAATTCTCCATCATAATAGAAGGAGGAAGACCCGAGGTTACGTTGTGGTTTTCTAGTAAATGTGTAAATGCAGCAAAAATTGTTAAGTTGAAATCAATCAATGGATGAGTCAGGGTTTCCTCAACCTGGGCCATCCACCCTCGCTGCATCTCTACAGTGTGATAACAATAATTATGTCAGCTATATTTTCGTGTTTTAAGTAAACATTGTCAGATAGATTGAGTAAGAAATGGAAAAGAGGAATGTTTATAGCATCACGTAACTCATTACGTCTGACGCAAGTCCTCTCAAATCAATACTTATACATTCAGTATCAATTTACAAGAACATGCCTGTAGCAAAGAAACAGTTTATGAGGACTGGAACCATCATTATGGTTCTCGAATTGCTGTGCAGATCAAATTTTAACGACATAAATGATGCCTGTTTTTTTCTAAATAGATCTCTTCAACCTCTGTATACTCACACCACTTTATTTTTCCCCAGCTGACTCTGCTTGGATCAGCTCCCCATTTGTTGTTGCAACATTACAATCTTATTTCTCTGGGACTTGACCTTTTTAAAACAAATGATCTTTGCTCACAATATTTGATTTGACAGCTTTGTGTAGGTATATGTATGGACTCTTATATATATAAGTAACCAACATTGAGTGTACGCCCCCTTTCAATAACCTCACATCCATAATCATGATTATGTCATACAGTACGCTAAGTGGTATCAGCCAACTGCTGCTTGTTTACACTCACTGCTGTTTATCCCGACAGGACCTGTGGTGGCCGGAGTGGTCGGCACCAAAATGCCACGCTACTGCCTCTTTGGGGACACTGTCAACACGGCATCACGGATGGAATCAACTAGTGAAGGTGATGAGAAATAAAAAACACAATCCAAGTCTCAGGGAAATACGGCAGTGGGATATCAGACGTGAAAAAACAAAAGTCCAAACTTTAAAGATAAGCATTTTCATATGGGATAAAGTGAACCTAAAGCCTAGAGAGCTATGTAAGGACAATCTAATGATAGTAGTTTGGCCTTGCACTTTTTGCAAACATGCTACTAAGACGGTATGTATAAGAAATATGAAATGTTTGAATAGATAGGGAATTCTGTTTTCTTTTATACCATAGATATTTGGAATTATGTATTATTTAATGAATATTCAGCACAAATATCTCAAATATCACTGATTTGGTCATCTGACACAACGTGTATGTTGGTTTGCAAAGAATTTAAAACCATGTAAGATGCACCAAGAATGAATAAAAAAGATTAAACTTCTGTCATGAATATGTACGTTCATATTGTTCAAATGACTTTACCCTATCGCATTATATCCATAGCTCTGAAGATCCAGGTGAGTGGTGCCACAGCTGACCTGCTTCACACGCTCAGAGGTTACGTCCTCACCTGCAGAGGAACACTTAACGTGAAGGTGAGATTATCAAACGCTCCAGTGTGTGTTCGTATAGTCAGTGTGACCTGTGTTGAATGATAGAAGAATTTACACTGACTGGGATGACAAATCCAGGGCCATGCACTGCACTGCATATTTAGCTTCCTGTAGCAGTTCTGTACTTGTTATACTCCCGACACAACACACTGCTCAAAGGCTCATGCTCAGCACATTCCTGTCTATGATCACGGTGGTTGTTGTATAGTGACTGAACGTTTTACTGTATTAGAAAACAAATCTCAAGAGTGCACATGCACATCCACATCGCTTGAACTGAACCAAGTGAGCACCTAGTTTTGTTTTACTGTTTTACTTTTCCTTTTACCTTATTTGTGTATATTTTGGTATATATATATTGGTGGACCATGAAACGAAGATTTGCAAAGATCAAGGGAAATTTAAAACTTCTCTCCGGGGTAAAACAGATGGGGTGTGTCTGGTGTTTGATTTCTCTTTTCTGGGGAGTATTGTTGGATCCAGTTCTACTTGCTTCTATTCACGCTGTAACCTAAGAGCTCTTTTTGTTGGGTGGTTCCAGTGTGATAATGGGGGAGGGGTTTAGTTGTCAGTCCCAACAGACATGGATCTAAGTGGCCTCAGCTGGTACTAACCCCTAACCCCCTCTCTCATGAAACACTAATGGCTTTACTACTTAAAAATTGATTTGAGTATGACTTTATCTTGCTTCTATTTCTCTTGACCCCCCACAGGGCAAGGGGGAGATGAAAACATGGTGGCTTGAAGCAAAGAGAAACGACCTCTCAGACCCACTGCTCAGAACATCTGAATCCAGAGGCGTCCCAGTACCAGTTAGTGACTAAAATGTGGTAATAAGAAAAGTGGTTAGGTGTAGATATTATGGGATGTAAGATGAAGAATAATCACAATGTAGATATCACACTGCACTGAAAACACACCACATGTTGATAGTGTTTAATTGTGCCTCATTGTGTTTCCCTATTATATATAGCATTCATTAGCATGGTTGCTATCTGAGGCACTTTTCTGTTTTCTGATAAATGAATATGAATGAATATAAGGATTTTATTATTCACTGCCTGACACTAAAGACAGCTCTCTCACAGTAAGTTTAAAAATGTCATGTTTTGCTACAGAAGAATCGAAATTTTTAACTTACAACTGGAATCTAACAATACACCCAGGTGCAAGTAACTTTATTAACTAAATAATGGCATGCAATGTCAGTGTTGCGATCTGGAAATGTAAAAAATAAATAAATAATAATAATTGAGCAAATGTTAAAGTTGTTAGTTCAACCTGTGTGTTTGTCTGCTCAGTAAAGGTTGATTTTTCTATTGAATTTGGAACCAAAATCGTCTTCTTCTTCTTTTTGTTTCATGCAGATTAGATTTGACACAGCAGTTACTCCTACATTTTGTAGAATGAGAACATACAGTTTTCTGTAGTTTTATGTGTTAAGTTTTGTTATATCTTGCCGTGCTGTTTTATGTTTTG